ACTCCTTTCAGGCAGGGTGCAGGCTCTGTTTCAAAAATTTGCCCGTTTGCGCTATAAGCAGGTAGAGCGCTGATATTTTAGATAAATATAGAGCACACCCGACACTCTAATTGCACCGAGTTTTAAATTTCGACTAGACTCGTGTGAACTTGGGCAATTTTTTCAAAAATCGCATCTGTAACTGCCTCCTAAAAGTTGTGCAGGCTCTGTTTCAAAAATTCGTTCTTTTACGCTCTGTGCGTATAGAGCGCTGTAGTTGTTGTTTAATATAGAGCGATGTTGGCTCTATTAGGTGGCACGGTTTCAAACAGCAGTGAGCCTCCAGCGATTTTTGGCAGTTTTCTAAAAATTTTCAACTTCGAACTCTCTTCATGCAGTGGGCAGACTTTGTTTCAACAGTTCTCCCGCTTGAGCTCTAAGCAGGTAGAGCGCTGTAATTAGAAATAATTATAGAGAAAAGCTGCCTCTATTATTGAACCGAGTTTCAAATAAATTTGTACTCTCAAGTAAACTTGGGCAATTTTTTAAATCGTGCATCTGGAACTGTCTCTTAAAACTTGTGCAGGCTCTGTTTCAAAAATTCGCTCTTTTACGCTCTATGCAAGTACGGCGCTCTAGCTGGTGCTGAATATAGGGAAATATTGCCTCTACTGGGTAGCAGGGTTTCAAACCGCTACTGAATTTGAGTTATTTTTGGGAGTTTTCTAAAAAAAATTTATTTCGAACTCCTTTCAGGCAGGGTGCAGCCTCTGTTTCAAAAATTTGCCCGTTTGCGCTATAAGCAGGTAGAGCGCTGATATTTTAGGTAAATATAGAGCAAACCCGACACTCTAATTACACCGAGTTTTAAATTTCCACTGGACTCGGGTGAACTTGGGCAATTTTTTCACAAATTGCATCTGTAACTGCCTCCTAAAAGTTGTGCAGCCTCTGTTTAAAAAATTCGCTCTTTTACGCTCTGTGCGTATAGAGCGCTGTAGCTGGTGTTTAATATAGAGCGATGTTGGCTCTATTGGGTGGCAGGGTTTCAAACAGCAGTGAGCCTCCAGCGATTTTTGGCAGTTTTCTAAAAATTTTCAACTTCGAACTCTCTTTTTGCAGTGGGCAGACTCTGTTTTAACAGTTCTCCCGCTTGAGCTCTAAGCAGGTAGAGCGCTGTAATTAGAAATAATTATAGAGAAAAGCTGCCTCTATTATTGAACCGAGTTTCAAATAAATTTGTACTCTCGAGTGAACTTGGCAATTTTTTTAAATCATGCATTTGGAACTGTCTCTTAAAACTTGTGCAGGCTCTGTTTCAAAAATTCGCTCTTTTTCGCTCTAGGGAAATAGAGCGCGGTAACTGCTGCTGAATATAGAGCAAAGGTAACTCTTTTGGGTGACGGAGGTTTCAGACCGCTTTTAGGCTCGAATGATTTTTAGGAGTTTTCTAAAAATTTTCAATTTCGAACTGTTTTTAAAGAGTGTGCAGACTCTGTTTCAAAAATCTCCCATACCAAAAGGGCCCGCAAAAACCCGGGCACGCCCCTGTAGGCAGGGGGGTCTTCCCCACAAAAAACTCCCCTTGCACTTTTCCCCCAAAATGCCCCAAAAGCGAGCTACGCGACTTCCCTCCACTCCCCAGCGACGTCTAGGCCACGCCCAAATTGGAGGGAGACCCAAAAAATCACACTCCAGACCAGAAATTAATAAAATAATTTATTAAAACTCATCAAAATGACAATCAAAACTAAAACAACAAAACTTAATTCGAATGAAGTCTTCTTCTCTAGGCGCGCCGCTCTGGGCTACATGAGCGCGCGCGCGCGCGCATTTCTACCTAACCTAGAGGCCTAAAAACTAAAAAAAAAAACATATGTATGTGTATAGATAAAAAAACGTACAAAACACTAAACGACTAATGGATGAACGGGGCGACACGGACGGACAGGGCCGAACTGGGCCAATAAATATCGAGTTACAACCTAACCTAGACACTAGACGCGTGTCCTAAAAAATCCTAAAAAATATGGTTGAACTTGCGGTAACCAACAGTGTATGTAGTGGGTGAGGGTGGGGGTCGCGCCCCGCCCCAACAGGCAAAAAATTGGTAAAACCTACACGCCCTCTACGCGGGCAGTCAAACTGGTAAAATCGCATTAAACAGTCGGGCGGGGCCAGCCGAACAAACAACAACAAAAAAACGAAAATGATGAGGAGAAAATGCCTGACTAGCAATTGTACTATGTGAAATATCAAGGGGGGCGTGGTGGGCCCGGGTGGGCGGAGCCTAAACCTAACCTAATACTCCTAGGGATTATGAACACTTCAAATGCACAGCCGATCAAGTTCGGACAGGAAAAGTGTCTGGGATTTGATCCTGGTTTAAGTAACTGTGCCAGTAGGAACCATTTTGCTACCGTGCTCCACTCCAGCGCCGCCTAGCGGGCGCCGGCCGCGCGCACTCCCTCCGCCCCCAGGGGGCGGGGCTTCAGGCACACTTTGTACGGATTGGGCGAGATGGTCACGCCCACGATGCCCTTCAAGCTGGGCAGCGTCTCGCCGGCGGGCACGCGCACGTCGAACGAGTGGAGCAGCGAGGAGAAGAAGAGGAAGATCTCCATGCGGGCCATCACCTCGCCCAGGCACATGCGCCGACCGACGCCGAACGGCAGGAAGAACTCGGGCTTGTGGACTTTGCCCTCGGCGTTGATGAAGCGCGAAGGGTCGAAACGTTGGGGCTCCGCCCACAGGGTGGCGTCCATGTGGACGGCATGCAGCAGGGGCACGACCTGGGCGTGTCTGGGCAGGTGGAACCCGTTCAGTTTGATGTCTCTGCAACAATGGAAGAGGGTCAAAAGCCCGTTAAGCGCCCACTACGCAACACATTGACACACGCACACACCGAAAATTAAAAAGTCTCTTTGCGTAGAGCGGCGTTACGCAAATTCGGTTGAGAAATCGTCGTCTGAACGGCTGTTTTTCAGCTGGTTCATCGACCTCGGCTAATTTATGTTTAAGTCATTTTAGGCATACTTGAAGGACTTTCACTTTTTTCGCAGGTGTGAATTTGAATTACCGGTTTCGAGTGGATGTCGGGCCGAAATCCGTTCCCAATTGCACCTTGGCGATCTGGTGTTTCAAGGAGTTTTTCGGCCGGTCGCGATGCGCTCTCGAGCCCGGGGGTCGGGAAATTTCAGGAGATTTGGCAACTGTGCCCACCCCCACTGGTCGGGCTTTAGATGCTGAACGAAAATGGCCCTTTGGGCTGATTGGCTATTGCCAGCCGTTTGGGAGATATCGATTTTTTTCCACGGCAGACACTGTCAGCAGTTGTAGAGCGCTCTGATGACGCTGCTTCAAAAATTCGCCCTCTTGAGCCGCAAGCAGCCAGAGCGCTGCAAATTCCACCACGCATAGAGCAAAGCCGCCCCTAGCGGCCCACGAAGTTTCAAA